CCTGCCTGATCGCCCCTACACTCTGCCTGCTGGCCTGCCTCCCCCCAACTGCCCCCCTCCCCGCCGGCCTGATCACTCCCAACTGCCCCCTCTGCCCCCGCCGGCCTGATCACCCCTAACCACCTCTGCCTTGACCCTGCCACCATGGCTTTGTCCAGAAGGATGTCCGGAAGGTCTTCTGGTCTAATTAGCATATTACCCTTTTATTAGGATAGATGGTCAGAGAAGATGCTTGATATGACTTCAATCTTCTTAAATTTATTGAGACTTGTTTTGTGTCCTAACATGTGGTATATCTGAGAAAATGTTCTATGTGCACTTGAAAAGAATGTCTATTTTGCTGCTTTGAGGTGAAATGCTCTGAAGATATCAATTAAATCCATCTGGTCTAGTGTGTCATTTAAGGCCATTATTTCCTTGTTAATTTTCTGTTTGGAAGATCTATCCATTTGATGTCAATGGGATGTTAAAATCCCCTACTATGACTGTATTACTGTCAGTCTCTCCCTTTATGTCCATCAAAATTTGCTTTATGTATTTAGGTGCTCCTATGTTGGGTACATAAATGCTTACGGGTTATATCCTCTTGTTGGAATGATCCCCTTATCATTATGTAGTGTTCTTCTTTGTCTCTTCTTATACTAGTAGCCTTTGTCTTAAAAATCTATTTTGTCAGTTATAAGTATTGCTATTCCAGTTTTTTTCATTTCCGTTTGCATGAAATATCTTTTTGCATCCCTTTACCTTTAGTCTGTGTGTCTTTTGTACTGAGATGGGTCTCTTGTATAAAGAATATATATAGGCCCATGTGCAGTATCTATTCAGCTACTCTATGTCTTTTTATTGGAGCATTTAAGCCATTTACTAGTACATCTAAAGTGACTATTGATAGGTACATGTTTATTGCCATTTTATTCCTTATACTATGTCCCTCTGGTGCTGTTTTTTTTTCTTCTTCTTCTTAAAGAAAACCCTTTAACATTTATTGAAATAGTGGTTTCAACAAACTCTTTTAGCTTTTTCTTGTCTGGGAAGCTCTTTATTTAAGAGAATTTTTTTTGCCTAGGGCATATAGAAAAGGTTCTTAGAGGAGATGCTTTTTGATGACTTTCTGAGAACAGATAGTTCATGGGCAGGGGAAAAGGAAGCAGGGAGGTGGACACTGGGAGGGAGGGTGGGAGCTGGCAGCCTGGCAGGGATATCCAAAGTGCCAGGGTGGGAGAGGGAGGGTAGGCGTCTGTGCACAGATCTGAGAAAGCCCAGAGGAGGGGCTCACTCCACCAGACCAAGGAGAGGTCTCCTGTCGGGGCCTCTGGGTGAGTAAACATGTGCTGGGAGGAAGGGCTTTATGGGAAGTAATACTAACCTACCCAGAGCAGGCAGGCAGGAAATTGCCGAGGGTGTTCAGGAAACAAAAGCATGTTCTGTGGGAGGCTAATAGGGCTCCACAGTCTAACTCACTTGGAAAATTCTGGATTGAACAAGGTGAAACAGATTTCTTTCCTGCAGGCGTTCTCAGAACCCTGAATATGTTAAAGTGCATTGGTCTGCAAGACAAGGTTATATGTGCAGCATTTCCAAAAAGGGCTGTAGACTCGTTTATTAACTTGACAGCACATTAGTTATGAAGAGGTGGCAGAAAAGCAGGCGGGTGAAATGGCTTAGGGTGCCTTAGATGCCAATGGAGAAGTAAGAGATTTTTAAGCCGGGTGGTGACCCAACCGCAGATGAGGGGTAGGAGGTTGCTTCCTATGTCCATGTGGGGAATGAATATGAAGAAAGGGGGACACTGACATTTATTGTAGACTTACCCTGCTCCAGCCACCGTGCTAGCACTTTGTATATACATGTGCATTTCATCTTACAACCCTACAGAGCCAGGTGCAGGACCTAAACCCTGGAGCTCTCTACCACCAACCCGCTGGGTGACTGGCCAGCTCAGGCCCCCTCTGGGCCTTGGCTACCTCATGTCTCTACAAAACAACTGCTGTTGTTCCTCCCAGCTCTGAATTTTTATCCACACAGGTGCTGCCTTATAGAGTCCTGCATCTGGTCCTCCGTTATGGAATTTTAGAACTGATTATCATAGCTGACAGACCAGCCTCATCATTCCACCCTTACACCAAGTCGGCAATGCATTCAGTCAACAAGGATTTACCACCCGCCCACCCTTTGCCAGGCGCTGTCCTGACAGCTGCCATCTGTTGTCTGGGAGGCAGAAACTTCTATAGTCCCCATTTTTCCAATACGGAGCCTTGTCCCGCATCTCGCCAGGTTCAGATTTGGATCAGGACCATCTACACCAACAGCCCAGCTCCTGCCCACTCTGTTTTGCTGCCACCCATGTAAGCCCACAGGCTCAGGGCTGGAGCCCAGGCCTCCAGAGCAGGATGGTGAGAGGGCAAGTGTGTGTGTGTGGGGGGGGGGCGGGGGGGGGATGGGGGGATGGGGACAATGATGCTAGTCAGACATGGCTATAGTTCTTGGTCCTGCCACCTACTAGCTGTGTTACACGGTACGGATCATTTCGCCGCCTGAGCCTCAGTTCTCTCATCTATAAAATAGCTCTAATGACTAGCATTTACTGAGCATGTAATAAGTTCCTCTAAAAAATCTTCCTGAGTGTGTTACAGACCACAGCCGTTATGGACCAGAGCCATGATTTGATCCCACGCTGTCTGGCTTCATGGCCCATGCTATTAACCACTCCACTATCTGGTTCAGGAGGTTCAGTACAAACCTGTGTATTAGATGGTGAGATATCAGGGGTCAAGAACCATATCTTCTGCAGGATCCAGGAGCCAGCTCAGGCCTAGCCCTGAGTGAGTTTCAGTAAATTCATTCACTCATTCTTTCACTAACTTGCTTCATTCATTCAATTAGTATCTATTGAGCACCTGTTCTAGGAGCTGGAGACAGCAATGAAGAAGGTAGAAAAGACCCCCATTCCTGCTGGGGTCCGACCCCAGCAGGTCCAGGGGTCCCCAAAGGTGTGGATGGAGTCGGCGAAGAAGGAATGACATGGAGACAGCGTTCAGTTGATCAGCAGCCTAGCCAGGACCTCTAGCCAGGATCTCCAGCCAAGTTCTGGTCAGGATCTCTAGCCAAGTTCTGTAGCCATGTTCTCTCGCTAGGTTCTCCAGCCAGGTTCTATGTCGGATCTCCAGTCAGGTTCTGTCGCCAGGTTCTAGTCAGGTTCTCTTGCCATGTTTTCTTGCTAGGTTCTGTCTCTAGGTTCTTTTTTTTTTTTTTTCCAGTTAATCATTATTTCCTTCATTTTTGTTTTTATTATAGCATGTTTGCTTCATTTACAGCAAGCAGAAAATAAACTGGGTCTTATTTTGATCCAAACATTGATGTTTTAAAGGTTGTACACAATATTAGTTAAAAAGAACATATAAAAATACCCTTTTAGAAGCTTCTATAAGAAAGAAAATACAGTTTAACCCCACAACTTTCCTCTTTGCTAGAACTGCAAACTACTGCTACAGTTTTAAATAGACTTTTTGTTGTTTAAACTATACATCCAGGAAAATCTAAAAAATTAAAGAAACGTGCATATAAATAAATGATTGCATAGCAGAACATGAACATTAACTGCAAAACAGTAAAGAAATGAGTTAGAAATACTATCAAATATACAAAGGTTCTAGAATCAACCCTTTAAACACATTCCACAAACAGTATTTAAAAACCACCTTTTGTTCTTTACAGGCAAGGCCTAGATTACTAAAAGCAAAATTGAAAAAAGCAATCCTCTAAAAGGAGTCGTTTTCCCACAATATTTCTTATAACCTGGCAAGCAAGCAATCTAAAAATGTTAAAGATGCTAGCTTTTATTCTGAAATGAGAGTGGACACCTCAAGTAACTTTTATTGTCCCTAAAACGATCTCTCAGAGAAATGCTAGAAATTATAAATGGTTAAGGGAATTTTTCCCTCATTTTTAGTCAGGTACTACATCAATAATCAAAGACTCAAAGATGTGACTTGTACTTAAAGTCAATTCTTTTTCATGGCACCACAGAATCACCTAGAATGGGAGTGTTGTCTTTCAATTTGCCTCACATTCAATAAACAGATGTGAAGAACAAGCCTCCTTCATAAAGAGGTAGGCAAATTTTGATACAAATGCACACACACCTAGTGCTATAAGCATCAAAATTCAGTTCTTTTACACTATGTACACAAACTTCCGGTGAAACAATTTACTTGCTTTTAACAGCAGCCAAAACTAAGCTATTATGGTCAACAATGTTCTTTCAAGTTTAGAGTAACTTAACTACATAAGAGCATCATTTCCACCTCAAATTTGTCATCATTGACCTGTTCAAATTTTAAGGTGAGTTTTTCTGATGTTTGTATATTTCAAATCTTCTTAGAAACCAGAAAAAAAGCAGTGAAGGCTCCATGTTTCAATAAAAAACTCAATCTCCCTGGAAATGCTACTTAACCCGTTGCATCATTCCCTAAGAAGGTGGGGTTAAGAAAAGAACTACTCCACACTGTGTCATAAATTAACTATTTTCACGGGCCTAGACATCTTAACAAGAGAAAAAGATCCACCCTGAACCTAAATGTGTCTGATCACTCAGTGTACTGTGGCTACAACTTCACTTTTGTATCATTCTATCTTATTAGCAAGCTATATTTCTAGGTTAACAAGTCTACCAAATATGGATATAAGAGTTTATTTTTAATAAGACAATGTTGCAAATTATGGTCAACCAACATCTTTTCACCAATACTTCAAGCATAAAAAATGAGAATCTTTACAAAAATATACAGAGACACCACAAATTGGTAGCTGCCCATAACATTAAACAAACTGGACTCTTAAGAGTGGCTTCTCAACAGCATATCACTTTAATTATAATCATTGCCTGGTACAGGGAAAACTGACAAATGTTTTGTAAGCATCATTGCAACATTGTATTCCTGATAATTTAAGTAAACCAAACTATGAGTAAATGAATGATACATGCCTAAAAATATCATGGTTTATACTATCAGTGGCCACTGGACTTGGGATCTAGATTTTGACCTAGACCTAGACTGTGATCTTGACTGAGATCTGGATCTAGGTGGTTCTTTTTTCCTTGGTTCCTTTTCATATCTTGAGCCAGACTTATAATGTGTTTTGGAATCTGTTTTAGAGGTGCCTCTAGTTTTGGTGTGAGATGCAGACCTAGAATGTGATTTAGCCTTCATTTCTTTCTTGGGCTGGGACTTGGACCGTGATCTTGAATTGGATTTAGATCTTGAAAAAGATCGATTTCGGTGTTTGAATCTATCATTGTCGGAATGGCTTCTGCTACGCCGTGGTCTTCCGGTCGGTCTACTGTTTCTAGGACTATAGGATCTTCTATAGTTGTAATCAAAGGACCGACTTCTTGATCTCCTTCTTTCATAACTTCGGCTTCTAGAACGCCTGTATCTGTCATAATCATCATAACGTGAAGAACTGTATACATTCCTCCCTTCCTTGGCTTTCATCTGATTTGGAGTCTTCCGATCTCCCTGTGCAAACTGTATTTCAATTTGGCGACCACAAATCCATTTTCGGTCCAAATTATGTAAAGCATCTTCGGCATCACGAACATCTTCAAATTGAACATAAGCAAATCCTCTTGGACGGCGAGTGTAGAAATCAAGTGGAACATACACATCAACTATAGGACCATAACGACCAAATTCACGTCGTAAATCTTCAGACCGGGTATCGTTGGCCACATTCCTTACGAACAGAGACGTGTTTGGGGGACGCAGGTAGCGGGACATGACGACTGCGGGACTCTCGGCAGGAGCACTAACGGGCTTCTGTCTCTAGGTTCTGTGTCTAGGTTCTGTCTTCTGTTGTCTTGTTACATCTGTATTTATACCAGTTGATTTTAATCCTATCAATTGCTATTCCAAAGATTAGGGCATTTCTTATCTCCATTCCAGGGAGTAAAGATTATGTAGCTTAAGCGTGATTGTTCGTAGTTAGTAGTTAAAGTGATTAACTACCCGCCTGGCACTTAGTTAAGGGGTTTTATTTCCTCCCTAACTTCAGGGAAAAATCCCTACCTGGGGAAACAACCTTTCTCGGAGAGGTGACCTTGGTTAAAACACATAGCACCAAGAAGGGGAGCAAACATATTAAGAACAGTATGCCATATACGCCAGGTCCCTTGAAACATATGCTGTGCAGATGTTTCTTCCCTGCAGCGACTGTGTCAAACAGCAAGGATGGACCGGCTCCCGGCACATTCCCATGGCAATTATATTCTAGTGGCCATCTAGGCACTAAATGTACAAACAAGAAAACTACCAGCCAGTAATTAGTGCAAAGTTAAAAGAGGATTTTATGCAGCGACTGGGTGGCTGCTTTTGATGGGTGGTGGGGAAAGAATTCTCTAAGGAGGTAATGTTTTAGCTAAGACTTGAATGATGAGAGGGAACTAACCATCTGAAAACCAGGGGGAACAGAGCATCCAGACAGAGGGAACAGCAAGTGCAAAGGCCCTGAGATGGGAACAAACTTGGCATATTTGGGGAGGAGAAGCCAAGTGTGGTTGGAGAACCAGTCAGTGAAGGGAGACAGTGAGACAGGGGACACATCCTGGAGGCTTCATGACCAGAAGAAGTTATTATTTTTTTATCATTTTTCAAGGATTGATGGGAAGCAGTTGGAAGGTTTTTAAAAAAAATTAATATATTCTTTTTAAATTTCTTTTTAAAATTGATTTCAGAGAGAGGGAGAAAGAGAGAAACATCGATGAGAGAGAAACATTAATCAGCTGCCTCCTGCATGCCCCACACTGGGGAGTGAGCCTGAAACCTGGCCATGTAGCCTGCCTGGGAATCGAACTGTGACCTCCTGGTTCACAGGTCAAGACTCAACCACTGAGCCATGCCGGCCGGGCTGGTAATCATCTCTTAACATGCATTTCTCTTTCACTGGACAGCGGGCTCTTCACTAGCTGGTCATGCTGTAGCAGAGGCCTCCCAGGCGCTGTCCTCCTTTCTTCCCCATTGGCTAGAATTTTTAGCTAGACTCATGGCCACCCAAAGAAATGACATGCCAGTCTCCCTGGCAGCTAGGAGTCACCAGGTGACAAAGTTCTGACCAGTGCCTAAGAATGGAGGTGGTGGGGGCAGCTTCCAGTCATACCTTTCCTGGGGAGGAGCGTGCCCTTCCCTCCCCGTCCTCATGCTGCTGGCCACACTGCGGACGGCAATGGTGGTGTGCCCTATCCGACAGCATGGGAAAAGGCAACTTCTCTAGGAACGGCAGAGCCACCAGACAGAAGGATCGGGGTTCCTGACACCCTGAAATTGCCACATCAACTCTGAACTGCTTACTCCCAGAATATTTGGAGAGGCAATAAGACCTCTTTTCTTTCCAAGCCTTCCTGCAGTCTAATATAATTCACACTAATTTCCATGCCGAACACAGTGACTGGCACTTCGTAAGTGTTCAATGAATTATGACTGAATTATTAAACCGATTACAAAAAGGGAAACCCTTAATTCCAGCATTTAACACGCTGACTGCATATCCCCCCTCAGTTCTTCTCTATGTGCACTGGATCCTTTAATAGAGGCATAATTAGAGTAGAAATGGAATTTTATATCCAGCCTTTCCCCTTTAATAGTAATTGCATAATAAATATCTTCTATGGCATATTAGCATTGTTTTAAATAGGTGTGTAATTTTCCACCAAAGAGAGCAACCATCATTTACTTAACCATGCTCTTACTGTTTGATATATATACATTTTTTATTTTTTGTAATTCCAGAGAATGCTGCAACATTATGACTAGTTTGTATTACTCCATATTTTTTAATAATTCCCTTGAAAATGGGATTGTTGTCTTTTTTTAATATCTTAGATCACCCTCCACCTTCACTAGCCACTCTTAAGCTTTATAACTTCTAATTAAATTCTGAGCCATGGTCATGGTGTGAATAACAATTACAACAGCGCCGAAACCGGTTTGGCTCAGTGGATAGAGCGTCGGCCTGCGGACTGAAAGGTCCCAGGTTCGATTCCGGTCAAGGGCATGTACCTGGGTTGCGGGCACATCCCCAGTAGGAGATGTGCAAGAGGCGGCTGATCGATGTTTCTCTCTCATCGATGTTTCTAACTCTCTATCTCTCTCCCTTCCTCTCTGTAAAAAATCAATAAAATATATTAAAAAAAAAACAATTACAACAGCAACAGGTGCCCATTACTGACCACTGATATGTAACTGTGCCATGGCACTTGTCAAGTATACGTATCTGCATATATATATATATATATATATATATATATATATATATTATATATATATATATATATATATATATATATATATATATATATATATATATAGCTTTATCCAGCCCTTGCTATATGCCATGCAAGGGGAGTGGGGAAAAGTGCCAATCCTAGAGTCAGACTGCATTCAAACCTCAGTCAGACTGCTTTCTAACAGTGAGAACTTGGACAGTAACTTAACCTGTCTGTGCCTTCGTTTCCTCATCAATAAAATGGGGGGTAATAACACTTTTCTCGTGGGGTTGATGTGACATGTAAATGAGATAACAGTAGCCCTGGCCAGTGTGCTCAGTGGTTAGAGCGCCAGCTGGCATACCAAAGGATTACAGGTTCGATTCTCGGTCAAGGACACATACCTGGGTTGCAGGTTCAATCCCTGACCAATTCATCTGTCACCCTCTTGTCAATATTTCTCTCTCTCTTCCCATTGCTCCCTTCCACTGTCTCTAAAAATCAATAGAAAAACTATCCTTAGGTGAGGATTAACAAACAGACAAAAAATGAGATAACAATAGCGTTTCTAGGTGCCAAGCACTGTGCTAAAGGCTTTGCATTTGATACTTGCCCCAGCATAGGAAGTGTTTCCTCCCCCATTTTGAGGATGGGGCGTCCGAAGCTCAGGGCACGGACCCACTGCCCAGAGCTGAGCATTCTCACGTAGGACAGTCATTGACCTCAAAGCCCCAAGTTCCTTCCGAAAGGATTCTTTTTTATGGTGTTCATCAGGCCATAACCTCAAAGCCCAACTTCTCCAGCGTAATCTCTCCCTCCTTCCGCCTCCCACACCACAACACACAGCCTGCTTCAGGCCCGCTAAGCAGTTTGCTGTCCTTCCCACAGTCATCACTGTAGCATGGAAAACCCCTGCAGCTCAATGAGGAAAAACTATTTATCAAGCACTTCCTCTGGTCAGACCCTGTGCTTGGTGCTTTGTGTTATTAATCCCCAAAGCTGTCCTAGATGTCAGCACCATTGCCTCTATTTTACGGGTGGAGAAGCCCAGGCCCAGAATGGTCCAGTGAGCTGCCCAGTGTCAGGGGGCTACTGTAGTCAAGCGCCAAGACTCACCGCCAGGCTGGGAAACGCGAGTCTAGGGTCCTGCTGTTCTTACAGCCCCCGGGAGGGTGGTTCCCAGGGGGTGGGGAAGGTTGTGCTGTCATGGTCACAGGTTGCCACCACCTACCCTAGGGCAGTCATGCAGAAGGTACCAGCACAATGCCCATCAGGGCCACCTGGCCTCTCAAGGCCCAAGGCACAAAGGCATGGCTGGGATCCAAGACAGAGCCATTAGGTGAGCTTTCTGTGCCACCCCTGAAATAGCCCAGCTCTCAGCTCTCAGCTCCTGCTCTGGGAGGTGGCAGGCAGATCCCGGAATAGCTCTTTCCTACTGCAAGGTGACCTAGTTAGCAGGTTCCTCTTGTCATGTGAGGTTGGCTGGGCAAGAATTCACCTGCTTCTCTCTACCCACAGAAAGCCCCACCCAACGCTTTCCTCTCTCCCCTCCCCCAGTGCTGCTCCTCACTCTCCCACTGTTTACTCATCCTAGAAGTCAGGGGAATGAGTAATAATACACAGAAGGTTTCGTGGCCTCAAAACATGTTCACAAACATCATCACGATTCTTTCTCACGCCAGGTGGGAGAGGGAGGACTTAGCATCATCCCATGTTACAGCTGAGGAAATTAAGGCACAGAGAGGGTAAGCAACATGAACAAGGACACACAGCTGGGAGGAGGCAGAGCCAGGATGGCAAGGCCCTGCACATCCTTGGTTGCTGTGCTTCTCTCTGAGAAGCCCCAACTACGCCTTCCTCACCTGCCCACTGACAGGTCTCCCAAGCACCTGGTGGCAGAATTGGTTTAGGGAGGTGGAGATCAAGGACTTTGAGGTCCCTCAAACCCAAGCTGAGGTTGGGGTTTAACTGTTGGCATGTATCAGCTCCGTGACCTCAGACAAGTCGCTTTACCTATCTGAGTCTCAGTTCCTGTGTCTGTAAAACGGGAAGCCACAGATAAGTTGCTGAATCTCTCTGAGCCTCTGTTTACCCATCTGTGAAAATTGGGCATAATATAACCTCTTGGGTTTGGTAGGTGAGGACTGGATGAGGCACCCATGTGGAGCACAGAGTGAGTGCTGAGGAAATGTTTGAGAATCTGAGCTTGAACAGCACAGGCAATTAAACCCAAGACCAGAGGTAACATCTTAGAAACTTAAAAGGAAAGATAACTGCGGCCTGGAGAAAACAAGGAAGGCTTCAGAGTGACGGTGGACTGGCCTTGAGTCCTAACATCCAAGTATAACTGAGAAAGAACAAGAAGCGCGGGGAGGTCATTTCAGGTAGAAGATCCTGCAGGACAAAGCCTGGAGGTCAGACTGGGCAGGACGCATTGGCCGAGCGAACCCTCCCACAGATGTAAACTCTTCCTCTGTGGCCTCAGCTCTCAGAGCGTTCGCCCCCACCCCTGTGGCTGCTTCCCTGTTACACACACATTCTCATCCCCCT